TCTGTAGCTTAAGATACCAGGAGTTGTCAGCTACCTGACATAGGTGCAGGGGGGCAGGGAGGGGACAGAACTCAGATCCTCTCAGGAAGAAGCAAGCACTCTTAACTACTGAATTATTTTTTTCAGCCCCTAATCCTGCATGCTTTAAATGGAATGTAGCATATTGCACTCACTATGGGAATATGTGTGTGTATGTATGTATGTATGTATGTGGGTGCATATATATTTCCTTATATGTACATTATTCCCTGAAAATGTGTATATGTGTGTGCATTGTGCATGCATGTGTCTGTATCCAAAGGAATTGAAATAATAGTTTGAAGAGGTACTTTATAGCAGCATTGGTCAGTTGGCCAATAATAGAGGTTACTAAAGTATGCATTTTTAATGGGTGGATAAACATAGTGTAGTTGATGATCACCATTATCCCCTGGAAGGAAGACAGTTTTGATGTCCTGGTGTATGCTATAACAGGTGTGATGCTTGTGCACATTTTACTAAGTGAAAACAAACCAATCTAAGATATGTACAGTGTTCCCCTCCCGCATGTATGATACTTAGTAAAACCTGCAGAGAGTGAACAGCTCCACAGACTGGGAGGAGAGAGAATGGAGAACTCTTCTTAATGGACATTGCAAGATGGGCAAATTCTGAGAGCTAGCTGTTGGATACCGTGAATAGGCTTACTGTATATGCAAAAATGGTTGAGATGGCAAGTTTCATCTTAAGTGTATTTTATACAATTGGAACTAAAAAACAAAGAGTTGCCAGGGATGGGATAATGGGAGAGTTACACATTGGCTTCACAGAGTTCGCAGTCCAGTTGGACGGGCGTAAATTTAAACGGGAACAGTGCAACATGGCAATAGCTGCAAAAGACGCCAGAGATCCTGAGGACAGGCTGGGGTGGGAGGGGTGCTGGGAGGTTCCATAATGGGAAGGACACTTCAACAATATCTTAAAGACCAAGTAAGAAATAGTCAAATAAAAGAGGCAAAGATATTTTAGGACATCAAGTCAAAACCGTATGTGCAATTCAGGGCGCTCTTGAGAAACTGCACAGATTTCTGCCGGGCTAGTGTGTTGGGTAGGAGTTGAGGGACGTAAAATGTGGGGTCTGTCTTGATTTATCCAGCATCTGCTGCGCCCAACCTTAGGAGAAAAAGAAACTTGAGGACATAAGGTGACCGTTCACAGCAGACAAAGCAGCAACATGGCTGTTCTCAGTTCTTCCCCACACAAGTTTTATCCCAAAAAGGCACAAGAAGAAATTCTGTCTCTATTCTACAAAAGTATGCATATTTTAGTTTCCAGTAATCAATGCTGGTTCTCCCCACCCCCTGGTGGTCAATCTTGCAACTCCTGGTTGAGTAAGTCCTCGTTAAGGTTGCCATGTAGTATGACCCTTCAATTCAGGCCCCTAAAGAACACAGAATGGGGGTACCACCTGCATGTGGGGTTCTGGCAACAGCTTCCTCTTTAAGGTTTGAGGATACAACTCTCTGCAGGTTCTGGACCCATATCTGTATCTACCTCAGTTGCCTTTGCTTTCGAAGGCAAATGCAGCATATCAGAGAAAGGTAAACCTAAAGCCATGTAACAGGTAGAATCTCCCTCTTCAAATGCGTGGCTTAGGAAAGATCTTCCAGGTTGGGAGACCCTGTGAGCAAACTTCTTAGCCAGATATCCAAGGCCAGGGAGACTGCTCTATCCCCTGGTTTCTATATCAACTGCCTTAGAATGGGAAGCAGTGATCTGCTAAATCTAGAGCGTGGTCCTAGATGTGGGAATGAAGGAGGAGCCAACTGGCAAGACATGAAGAACAGGAGGGGAAGAGGTTGAAATTATTGGATAATGGTAGGAAGGAAGATTCACAATAAATTTCCTAAAGTGTTTATTATCTTATTAATGCTGGGAGTGGTGGTTGATGCCTCTAACTCCAGCTCTTGGAGAAAGGGGAATTTCTATGAGTGTGAAAAGAGCCTGGGCTAAAGTGTGACCATGACTCACAATTAAAAGATGGGTCATGATAAATTCTACTTTCTTTAGTGATCTAAGTATCTGGGTGTAGAAACACACCGTGTACAGAGAGAGCAGGGAGGAGAGGAGAAGAGAAGAGGGCAGGGGGAGAAGAAAGGAGAGGAGAGGAGAGGGGAAAGGGGAAGGAAGAAGGGAAGAGAGGTGAGGGGAGGAGAGGAGAGGGAAGGGGAAGACAGGAGGGGAGAGGTGAGGAGAGGAGAGGAAGGGAGAGGGTGAGGAGGGGAGCGTAGGAGAAGAGAGTATTCTTGGAGTCAGGGAATGGAGGGTAAGAGGGATAGACTAAGGCAAAGAGGAATCTGAAAGCTATCTCCTGTGGTGGATTATGGGTAACCCTGGTGAAGAATCACCTAGTATAAAATACTGTCCTAGACAAGTGCCACCCACCTTTGAGTGTGACTCTAAGCATTTGAAGTTGCCCTAACTTTGCACTGCAGAGTTCTGTCAGTGTCTGACTTGCTAGGCCTGGAGTTTCCCTTTCTGCCCTGAAATGAGACTTATGCTGCTGGCCCAAGGACCTGGGTGCAGATACTATCCAGTTCATTCTGCCATCACAGATTCCAGATCTGCTACTGGGAAGATCTGCTATGGTGTCTCTGGGAAGCACTAAAGGCATCAAGAGAACCTGATATGAAAATGAGTCTAGTTAACTGAGTACTCTAGACCATCTTACATCATACTGCTGTCCCAAGCATTGGGAAAGGGGACTATGAGTTGAGACATACGACCTTCTATAGTTGATTACAGCCAATGACTCTGAGACATTTATACCTGAACATCTATTGTTGTGGTTTTCTTTCCAGCCTGGTCCCACTGCCACTTCAGCCCTAAATAAGCACACAGATGCTATATTAGCTATTAAACTGTTGACTGATGGTTAGGGCTTCTTACTGGATAGCTCTCTCTTAAGTATTAACCCATTTGTATTAATCCAAGTATTTCCAGGTGGTCTTATCTTACTGGAAAATGCCTGGACCTGTTTATCCTTTGGCAGCTATATGGCGTCTCTTTGTGGTGCCTCCTTTCCCAGAATTCTCTTAGCCCTGCTTACCTTCCTGCCTCTATTGGCCAAACAGTGTTTTATTCACCAACCAATAAGAGAAACATATATACAGGACATCCCCCATCATTCTACAAATAGGTATCACAAGAGTTTGATACCTGGGGTCTCTAGTCACTTGGGAATGGTGTTGTCAAACCATACCTTTTACAACTTCAGAAGCCAAAGGGAGGCATGAACACAATGCATATGGGCTGTTCTATCTATCTATCTATCTATCTATCTATCTATCTATATATCTATTATCTATCTATCTATAATCTATCTTTCATCTATCATCCATCTATTGTCAATCTATCTACTTTCTCTCATGTCTCTCTATCCTCCACTTGTCTATCATCTATCAATATATATACCATATATTATTCACATAATTAAGATACACATTTAGACACAAATATACTTACATATTTATATTTAAATTAGCTTCACCTTTATATTCAAAGAGAACTCAAGATAAAGAGTTGAGGATAAAAGAGAGAGTTGGGGATAAAAATGAAATACCGAAAAAAGGACAGCATTGGGATTTTGCAGGAGAGAAACTGGACTAGCAGTGGGGCAGGTGGCAGAACAGGTGTGCTGATACCAGAGTTAAAGTTAGAGCCAGCAAGGTGCCCCAGGTGGCAGGAAGATGGAGCCAGGACACAGCTCAGAAGGACGCGTCTGTGTTACAGATGTGCTTGTAAGGCACACACCGTGTATTTATATGTTTAGTGGTGAAAACTCCAAGAGGAAAGTGACTTTGCTCTCTGCCTCACTCACCCTGGGTGCTGGACCTGTTTATTTTTAAGGAACTGGGAGATGTTGGCTTTTCAGTTTCAATTGGTGTGACTCTTTAGAAGGCTGGGTGGTTGTTTCCAGGTGTCTCTTATGTTCATTGAGAGTATGCTGTGTTATTGAGTCCAGACTTCTCTCTCCAGGGCCTCTTTATTAGGTGTATGTGGAAAAGTACTCAGGCTAATGGTGTTCAACTTGGAGTAGTTCTTGAGGAAACGGTATCTCAAATCCCTTGTATATGCCTGGTAAATTCAGAGATCCGAGTTGAGGTTCATGCTGGAGTGTGCAGCAGGCTTAAGTTTCCAGTGATATTGATGCTACTGGATCAGTATTGCCCTTGGGAGACCTGCTGAGCTACCGGTCTTGAAGAAGCACAGGAACAAAAGACCAAGCAGGAAAGCATCCTCAGGCCCCAGAGCCTGCTACAGGACCAGCTGCCAAGCTTCACTTCTGCTTCTTGTCCTGCTCTGCACATGACTCTCTCTCATCCTGGATTAGCGTGTCCATTTCTGCATCAAGCCCCACGCATCCTCTGAGTGCCAACTCAAATGGCACCTTCTGCTCGAAACTTGCACCATTCTGCATCCCCTCCACGTGGAGCTGCATCCATCCCGCACCTCCCCTCGTTGGTCTCAGCTTTGGCTTTTTCCACAGCCTTCCTAGTATGGTCACCAGTTTGCAGAGACCCTGCCTGAGCTATTTGTGCATGCCTGCTTAGGGGCTCTGTAGACTCTTGCACAGGCAAAGCCTTGAATGAAAAAACTTGAACTTGTTGTAAGCATTGGACTTCACGTTTCTACACGCTATGCACCAATAGGTTCATCAGGCAATTCATGCATGAATATTTCCCCTGTCGTTTTAGAGAAGAAGTGAGGGGATACCCACGAGGAACATAAATGGAATTCGGGTACCTGAACTGCCCGGTCATGACTGTTGTTTTGAAAAACAAAATATCCTGGCGTACGCACGCAGGCACACAGACACACACAGACACACACAGACACACACACACACACACACAGACACACACACACACACGGAGAGAGAGAGAGAGAGAGAGAGAGAGAGGAGAGAGAGAAGAGAGAGAAGAGAAGGGGGAGAGAGACAGAGATAGAGATAGAGAGGATATACATAAGGTAGTTTTAATAGGAATTTTATACAATAGTGTGGGTGACACAATGGAGGTGAGGCAGGACTTCGGGGGGGGCAGGGTTACTGCCCATCCACATGGACATCCAGACATAAAGACGATTCCAAGAAAAATGGGGCCCTCTGACAAATTCTGCAGTCCTTTAAGAGGGATTTTAGTTCCCATGGTCCTTGTTCAGAATTTAAAGTCCGTTGCGATTTCTTGCATGGGGCAGAGCTGCCCACCCCTGGAGTACACACAGGCCCCGACACATAAAGTTGATGGCCCTTCTAGAATGGTAAGGGAAGGCACTGCAGACGTAGCTTCTGCCTTCTAGAATGGTAAGGGAAGGCACTGCAGACGTAGCTTCTGCCCATCTAGAATGGTAAGGGAAGGCACTGCAGACGTAGCTTCTGCCCATCTAGAATGATAAGGGAAGGCACTGCAGACGTAGCTTCTGGTGCCTGTGCATTTTTCAACATGGCAGATTCACGCGTCTCATCAATCCTTCCCCTTTAAAGTGCCTGTGGTGTGACATGTAGGCGGTGCATGGATAGAGACAGGTTGGCTTAATTAAGGTTTTAGACCAGGTTGCTTCTTTGTAAGGCTCATTTTAAAATTCATACTTCCAAACAAACTTTTCCGGGTTTGCGTCTTAGAAAAAAGGAAAAAAATAAAAACAGTCAACAAACCGTAACACTGAAAACATTGTTTCGCACTAGCTTCTTACAAACTGCCTTACCGAGCAGATTGTGTATCTCTGCTCATCTCTGCTCTATAGTGGGCCGCAACACACACTGGGGTAATGATGGAAAAATGAAATGAATTTCAACAAATAACTGAGGATGCAGCTTCAGAGGCTGGTGGAGTTCTTGGTACAATAATCTTTTTTCCCCCTCTAAGTCATGCATATTTTATGAGACTGAAACAACTGATTCCAATAAGTCTCTGGGCTATAGAAGCAGCCAGAGTTGGATGAAATGTAGCATAGCGTAATGGATGAAGCACTCACTCAGAGGAAGCTTGCGGCTCATCCGTCAATAAACCCGTGCTGTGTTGCAGCCAGTGGAGTATGGGAGATAGTCAACCAGAAGATGGTGTTTGTTCAGTGCATTGGGAAAACCCATTTTTCATCTACTTGCCAAGTGTGTCCAAGAAGTTATTGCTAATTTATCATGTAACAAGACAAAACAAAACACTACTGATGTGACTTAAGCATGCAAAACTGGGTAATATTCCATTCCCTACTTTTGAACCTTGGAAGGCCAATAAATAAAGACTATGATGATGGTGGTAATGATGATGTCAACGGGGTGGGGTCTGGTCTGAATTCAATGTAGGTGGAGAGAGTGTCTTCAACATTGACCTGGGTCAGGAGGGAGTATGAGTGTCTGGGCTCTATTTCTTGAGGCCCCTGTGTCACTGACTGAAGTCAGAGCAGGCTGAAAGAAGGAGAGGTGGTAGTGGAGGTAGCTTACTCCTCAAAAGGTATTTCCTTTTATCATCTGTCTCTCCATACTTCAGAAGCCACAGCAACTCTCTAGGAACAGGAACTCAAGAGAATGGTACTTCAGAGTCTGTTTCCATGTGCAAATTGTGTGTGTGGGAGATCTTGTATGATGCTTGTTGCTATATCATACATTTCCACAAGTAATAATCATCATTTATGATACCATGGTTTCTGTGGGTTGGAAATTCAGGTGAAGCAACCTGGAACCTTATCTCATCAAATTACTAAGTTATGTTCAAGGTGTTAACCAACTATAGCTCACTGGTGAAGGGCTGGCTTGCTTAGCACATAGGAGGCCTTGGGTCCAATATGGAGGGAGAACTGTATAAACTGGGTGTGGCAGTGCACACCTAGAATTGCAGCACTGTGGGCAGTTAGAGACAGGGGTCATTAGTTCAAGGTCATTCTTCAGCTCATAGTAAGATCAAGGCCAGCCTGAGCTATATAAGACCTTGTACAACACATCAGACAAAATATCTTGTCTTTAGAGCAGGGGTTTTCAACCTGTGGGTCATGATCTCTAGGGAGTCAAATGACCCTTTCCCAAAGGTCACATAAGACCATCAGAAAACAGATATTTCTGTTATGATTCATAACAGTAGCAAAATTACAGTTATGAAGTAGTAATGAAAATAGTTTTGTGGTTGGTGATCACCACAACATGAGGAGTTGTACTAAAGGGTCACAGCATTAGGAAGATCAAGAACCACTGCTTTAGAGAATCAGTGGGCAAAGCTCTGCTTCCCCAACCCCAGCTTCTTAGGATGAGCACATAATTCAGATACATGTGGTTGTGGGGACCATGGCTGCTTCTTTCTTCACAGGCATCAATAAAGGAGTTTTCAAGAGATAGAGAGGACCCCCTTTCAATGATTTTGCTCACCTAGAAAAACTCCCATGTGAATGAGGTACCAAACATTTGAGACCTTAACAACAACTCCAAAATCTTCTTTCATTTTCCTTACAGTAGATCCTGATCATGGTGCTCAATGCCCCCTCTTAATCTAAACTCACTCCATACTTGAGGCCAGGATGGTGTGCAAGGTGTAGACCATAAATGGTAGAGAGCTTGAGACCATTTTAGAATTCTTAATGCTCAGTATGAAAAAAACCAGAAAATATTTTCTATATTCACTTTTTTTCAAGACCAGGAACTCTAAGTGCAACTCTAAGTGGAAAAGGTATTGTTCTCATCTTAGAGTGCCATGTGGTTAGACCAACTCCTAGCACATTGCCCTTTGCTGATAGTTTGACATTCTTCTGACTGGTTCCTAAAGATCAACTATAAACTCTTTAAGAGCGAAGACCAGACACTCACACCTCACTCATTGTAATTGTGTGATAACTTACTTAGATACTTATTGATTCCTGGAGACTGTGAGTATCACTGATACTGTTGATATGTAAAGGTCTACAAAGTTTAGAGAACAATTGTATCTTGTAGATTCCTCCTGCTACCACTATAGGTAGTGAATACGGTAGAGACTTTATTATCGATTTTTAATGTTTATTTGTTTAATATTATGTGTGTGCGAGCCTGCATGTATGTCTGTGTACTACGTGCATGCAGTGCCTAAAGAATACAGAAGAGGGTGCTGGATTTCCTTAGAGCAGGAGTTACAGTTAGTTGTGGATGATGGGAACTGAACCCATGTCCTCTGGAAGAGCATCCAGTGCTCGTAACCATTAAGCCATCTCTACAGCCTGTTATGTATCATTTTTAGACATACCATTAAAACATAGGTTAGTAGCAAAGAGAGAGAGAGAGAGAGAGAGAGAGAGAGAGAGAGTTAGGTAAAAACACAGAACATAAAAGTAAAACACCGTATCATGGTACCTCAGTATTGCTAGAATATTCTAGGATAGCAGAGTGCCACCTTTGATTTATTTGTGAATAGTCTGTTTTACTAAAGATGCAGAGAAAGCACTTACATAAGAAAACAGCTTAGATGAAGATCCAGCAACCCAAAGATGTTACAACACAAGTACTGACCAACATGCATTCCCCTTCTGCCTTTGCATTCAGTGTCTCTTAAGCAGAAATGGCTATAAGGAAACATTAGAGGAGTAGGAATGGTACAGGTTCTAAGACAGCTTACACTTGCCCTGGGTTGCAGGCTATGAATTATAATCGCTAGGAATGAGGCTAGGCAAGCTACGTGTTGATCACTGAGAGAAAGTACTAACCCCTCAAAAAGAGAAGAGGTGACTGATTTGAAGGTAAAAACACAATCAGAGAGTGGGAGGGAAGGAGCAGAGGGAGAGATGGAGAGAGAGATGGAGAGAGAGATGGAGAGAGAGAGAGAGAGATGTTCAAAGTGTGAAGATTAGACTTCTAGATGAGTGCAGCTTGCAGCTCTGAAAGCCCTCAAGTCACTTCAATGAAGTTGCTCAGCAGTGAAGTTGAGTTTGGTATTGCCAACATAAGGGGAGCCAAGGCGGTGAGAAGTTAGAATGAGAGACTAGACAGAAATAAAACCCACCTACTATGGATAAGTAGAAGGCATGAAGCCCTCCTATGACAAGAGGTATTCATTGGAAACCCACTCACACTTTATATTTAAAAAACTCCACCTGTGGTTAAGTCATACTTGAGAATCTAGTTCTATTATTCTCCTAAATGGACATAGAAGTAAACCGCCCCTTAAGTTTACCCTTACACCATAGATAAGAGCATCTTCCAACACTCATGAGAGAAGCTTTTTGGCAGCACAAAGAAAGGTAACTAACAGAGAAACCCATGGTTGGTCAGCATGGAAGAACAAGACAGTGGAGTATTTGACTCTAAATGGGACATCTGTATCATTCCTCCACTCCTCAGGGCTCAGGAAAGATTGCAAGAGCCAGATGTGCAGATGTCTGGACTTAAACAGTATTTGCTGGGCATGGCACGACCTTTGTACATGTCAACCCACAGCAGCTATGACTACACAGATAAGACCTGGGCAAGATCCAACCAGCCAGAGTACCACCAAGCAATGGGAGAGGGCTGGGGAAACTCTACCCCAAGTTGAGGAACTGATGGCTACTGGGAGAGGAAGAGTCAATTTTCTTGAGGGATGTTGCCCCTGAGAGGTGACCCATGACCAAGTAGATGGTCCCACACCCATGTACACACAGACAGCACTAGATGGATTCCATGGATTCTCTTTTTTAAAAAGCAGATGAAGTTGGGAGACAAACGGTGGAGGGGTAGCATTTGGAAAGGAGGGTTGTGGGTGGCTTTGATCAAAGCATCCTTTTTGCACTTATGAATTCCCAAACAATAAAATGATTTTCCTAATTTCACTTCAAATTTCATGAGAAGAAAGTAAGTTAAAGTTGTGAATGGTAGAGACAGAGTTTCAATAATGAGTCAAAAGGCTCTGATCCTACCTGAAGCTGGGTCCCTAGGCTTTAGTTGTTAATTTGATGCATGTGATGCTATGCTAAGGGACATTAGTGGGGACAGTGAGGTCATTCTCCTAACTTGCATCTTATGAGTTGTTGGAATTCACATTATGACAAAAGAACACATAAAAGAGATGGGCATTGTAGCCCAAGACCGGAGTTCCTTCTGCTGTTGTTGTAACATGGAATTATGGGCATCAGTAGGACCCAAGTGGGCAGTTAAATGCAAAGGCCTGAAATTTAAGGAGAATTTTAGGCAAAGCAAAATTTAGGAGTCACCATGTGTAAGTAGTAAGTTAAGCATAGGGATGGATTAGATTGCTCAGGAATTATGCATGGAGAAGGACAGCTCAGAGTCTCAGACAACACTGACATTTAAAGAGCACCCAGGCAATATTCTCAAAAGAACTCGGGAGAAATAGTCTCAAATGTAGCCATGAAAAGATGCGATGGACATTTCCATCAACCAGATATCTTCAAATGGTTTTTGGGATTTTCAAATTTCCTTAAGGTGACTCATTGATGTTTCTTCCATACTAAAAGATGTCAGTGGTTTCCAGCCATCCTAAGGACAGTTTCCTCTTCAGGACAGAACTGCTGCATAGACACACTCAAGATCTAATCTTCTCTATTCTGTCCCTTGAAGTATGAGGGGTCTTTCTCTGCTCACACCATCACCTTCAACTCAACTCCATTCCCTTGCCAACCATTTCTCATGTTCTGTGTCTGGGTTCAATCATCCTTCCTTCATGGA